TCCATTACAAATATCTAAGGCTAAAGACACATCATGTTTTCTATCATAAAAGGGAGGATTTCCAGTTGATAATTCAGTCATAATTACACCAAAACTGTAGATGTCAGAAGTTAAGGTATATGATTCTCCATTCAAGACTTCTGGAGCAATATATGGTAATACTCCATATATTTTATCATTCGATTGCTTATCTGCTGGTCCTGTTAATCCAAAATCTGAAATATAAGAATGTTGTTTATCTTGTAAGATATTTCCACTATGAAAATCCTTATGACAATATCCTAAATTTTGTAAATTAATAAGTTCTTCAGTAATATTATATAATTTGTAAATTTTTTCTCCCCATAAAATATTGTTAAAATTATTTGAAAGACAACTTCTCAAATTTCCATTAGGTAAAAATTTTACGATCATAATAAATTCTTTGGTTTCTGGATCCTTAGTTATTCCATAAAACTCTAATAAAAGAATATCTTTATCGGCATTAAAAAAATCCCAATGTGCTTTAAGCTAGTTTTGTAATAAAATTTCAGCAAATTAAAAATAAAATATTTTATTTAAATAAAATTATAATGTTAAAATACCTCATTAAAAAAATTGGCTGACATATTTTGTGATCCATTTAACCTTTTCAAAGCAACCTTTATAGGTTCAGGATTTAATTTTTTCCAACTTCCATCATTTTGCCTTTTAAATTTTGATTTACCATCGATCCATGTTGCAGAATACACTTTTGCGAATCCTCCTTCACCAATTTCTTTTATACCTGTAAATTTATCAAAAGGCACCCATTCAAGAAAATGGTCATCAGCATCATGTATTGTATCATACATAGTATCTTTGATAAATTTATCAATATCAGAATTTTCACTAGTCCATCCTTCAATTATACACCAAGGGTCACATTCTTTACACCATAATCTCTCTGAAAATGGTTCATCACAATAAGAACATTTATTAATTTCTGAGACATTTAATTTGTTGAATTCAGATTCTATTAGGTCTTGAACTTCATTTTCATAGCTATTTACATCCATTATTTTTTTTTTTTATAAAAAAAGAGAAAAAATTAATTTTGTAATTTCAATAAGGATATAAAAGGAAGTATCATGACCAAATTTGGATCAACAGAAAATATTAAATCAAATGATCGTATACTGCGGTTATTATTAATTTTGGCCATCCCATCTTATATCAAAATTTAATACTGAAACTCAAGATGAATGTTTTAAACCATATATTGTTCTCTACCCCAGCTTTCCTTCCATTACATATTATTCTTTAATAATAATTTATAAATTATCCTTATGATCGAAAGTTTAGTAGACAGTTCAGTCAAAAGTATAGACTTATAAAATAATTTCCTAATTAGTCTGTCAGTTTCAACAATTCAAAGTGTTCTTTCTCATTTGTTTTTTTGTTTAAGTACAAATAGTATAGTATCAAAATTCACTGCAGTAAAATCTCAAAATTGAATCATTATTACCTTATTAGTTGAATTTATAAACAATGCATTTTTATGATTTTAATATATTATATTTGCATAAAAAAGCGATTTTATAGAAGAATTATAAAAAGCCCACATTGCCTAAATATGAATATTTAAATTAAATAAATTTCATGTATTCCACAATATATTGCCTTGAATATATATTTTAAAGTTGTCGGGTATATATATATATTTTGCATTACTAAAATTTTGCATTACGCAAATACCTGATATTACACAAATAAAGACATCTGCCGCTTTTTTTTATGTTCCGACGAGTGCATCCAAATATATTATCGGATCACGATAATCTGGACCAACGGTCAATTTTTGCGGGAAAAATCAAAAGAAAAATTATCAAAATTTTTACGTTAGAAACCTCGTGAAAGAGGCAAGGTAACAAATGCAATCGAAGAACTGTTAAAAATCTAAAAATAATCCGTAATACAAACAACATAAATATCTAATTTATAAGTCATTTAGTACGAATATCGAACGTTTCAAAACTTTTAATGTAAAATATATTTATTATTATTAACATGCATTTTACGCTTTACAAGTATATTATAAATCAAATATTTAACTATAACATTAATTAATTTAGTGATGTATGAAGAATACATTTTTTTAAAAAAAAAAATTAGTTGAAAGCTGAATAAGATAATGATTTTACAGTATCTGTTTTTTAATGAGGAATATATTTAACTGAACATTAGATACCTATTTTAGGAGTTCCATTGATACGATAAATGATTTAAAATCATTAATCATAACTGTTTAGCTTTAAAAATAATTTCTTTATACATGACATGAACTTTCTGATCAACTAAGTTTAAAATGAAATTTTAAAACCAGAATTTCTGACATATGGCATATATAAAAGCCAATATTCATCAGTCAATTCTGTAGGCAAAAACTATGTATTGCTAAATTTTCAAGGTTATTCTGTTTATCGAGATTTCATGAAAATTTAATACGGTTTTTTAGAATAAACGAAGCCTGATTCTGAGAAGCATATCGTTTCAAAGGAATATTATTATAAATATAATTTTTTAAGGGAAATTTTAAATAATTATATTTGGCTGGTGTTAGAATATGGATGGGTGCGCTTTATGATTATCTAAAAATATTTTCACAATCTTAATTGGAAAGATTAATACAAGTTGGATGAGGGAATTTTACATAGAGATTTGCATTCCAACAATATATTTACACATCAAAATTCGATAATATTAATGTTTTAACTATTAAGGATAATTCTGAAAATGTCAGATTTCTGACGTAAGGAACAAGCTTAGCAATTTATAGCTTACCGTTACGAATTCGTTAAAGGATGCATTAGTTGGCGATAGATTGAAATTATACAAAACAAAAAAAAAAATTTTTTTTTTTACTTTTTTTTAAGTAGAATTTATGATACCTTTTTAAAAGATATCTTTTTTCCTCAAATGAACTGTGTTAAATTCACCTAATTATCTTCAATCGAAACATCTACTTATAGAATACCCAGCAGATTAATATTTTAATTTAAGATCATTTTAATTATTTATTTTATCTTAAAATATTATCTTGATATTTTAAGTAAATGATTAATTTTTTTCAAAAGTCCGGATTAATAATAATTCATTGAAGTTCAATTTTGGTCACTATCAATTGTAAATTTATAATAAATATAATTGGGTCAAAGGACACCTCTCAACACAACCAGAATTCTCATATCAAGTATGTTTTTCTTATTTATTATAGCAACCTAACTTTTTTATAAAATATACAATAACATATATTCGTGAATGGCCTAATTGAGTTGTTAATTAAAAAGATCTTTGTTGTTGCAAATTGTAGAGGATAATTACCCATCATAAAATAATGAAGAGCCTTTCTTTAGCTCATCCCTTTATGAACTACCGGTTTGCATTTCCACCATTCTAGCTTCTATTCGTCCTAACAAATATATAATTTCATTATATGATTGATCAAGCTTACCAATTTGTACCAATTCATTTCTGTTGTTTTCGTTTCTGATCCCTTGGCATCTTTCTCGAATTTCACATAATTTTCGTTTGTATAACTCGTCCACTATTGCTTTCTCCATGAAAGTATACGTAGCAGGTAAGATGAGATAGGGATGATTATTGTCGCTAATGAATATGAAAAAAAAATTAACAATGAAATTAATTAGCGAGGATATGAGTTATAACTATCGGTACCTTTTAGGTTGGATCAACTTAAATTTATTGGACATTTGAGGTTTGTGTTGTTCATTGCTGGTAATACCGCTCGAATTTACTAATAATGACCCTTTATTCAGACCATAATCATTGAGAATGAAAGCCGAATTTGATTTCTTTTCTTGTACTGGCAAAAAAGTAGTTTCTTTAGGTTCATTTATTGCATTCATATTATCTATAAACGTTTTTTTAGAAATCGCTTCTCTAATATCATTTCTGTCATCAAGAGATTGTTTATCATCTTGATTAATTTTAACTATATCGACACCTCTATTTTCTTGTTGATCATCCGTTACTCCATTGAGTATCCTTGCTACCATTTCATTAATAATGCTCGAGAACCCATTAATTTTTCCATATTTCTTGTACTCGAATTTCAATCTACAGACTTTAAAATGTACAGCATATGGAGTACGATCCTTCATATCATAATGATCCAAGGCTTTAATGATGATTTTCCTTTGATTTCTTTTTTTATTAATCCAATCTTCATAATGATCAAGTATATATTGTAAGACGTTCATTATCTCTTTTTCCGTATATTTATTTCTTGAGGTCTTTGTCTCTATTTGAGATGACGTTGGATTTGATGGTGCTTCTGCGTCTTTTTTTGTTGACTTTATTTTACCCATGACGAACTTTATATAAAAAAATGTAATCGACGAAAAAAAAGGAAAAGAAGCAAAAAAATGATTTAAAACCTTATTATTAATTATAACTGGAAAAATTCATTACTTCATTCATACGTATGATGATTTTTGTGTAACCTTTTAACCACATCCGAATAAAAAAAAACAGCTCAATTGTGATCCTTTCATAAATCTCTATATCATTATTTTCTTTAAACTTATCCATACTAACCATTCAATTGATTAATTTTATTACGGATTCAAATATAACAAGGACTCAATTTCTTTTCTTGATTTTTAACTTAACGTTAACGAAACATTCCTGATATTATACAACCCAAAAAAATGATTAAAATGTTATATAAACTTGAAATTTCTATTTAATATAAATTAAAAAAAATTGAGGAATCCCTAATTCTCTGGAACCAAACTCGGGAATTTCTCGTTCGACGTAAGGTCATATTCCTTCTTTATCTCTAGGAACTTCTTTTGATCCAATAGCGTGGTGAGTACTCATTTAAAAAATATATACATATATTTTAATTGTATTTTAACAAACTATTTTGACTAGCATAAAATAAAAAATATTGGAACGAAGCGAAGCTCGTAACAATAATTACAATCAAAGAAGATAGGGAAAGATTAAATAACGGAAAATGACAATTCAAGAAGAAGTCGATGTTGATACAAACAATCCAGCTGCTTCTGCATCCTATCAAACTGGAACTTCATTGATGCCCATAAGGTACAAGTTTATCAACTGGTGAAGCCGTGATCTTATGATTTGATATTTATAATATTTAGTATATATTTGTTAATTTTATTATAATATGATAGATGTATTTATTATATTTATTACAATAGTTATATTTATTATGTATATTATTAGTATTTTATATGATGTATTTTCTCTTGAGATGAAAAATAACTCGAGATAGGGTTTTGTGAATAAACCAAGTTCAATGAAGATATTTGTTATTAATTTGCTATTACCTTTTGCCGTGTCTTCATACAGGTGTGATTGTGATAAAGTTTTGTAATTAATTCGAAAAACTGAATTAAATTATGTGATTGCTCATTACAGAAACCCGGTTAACACTGATCGATCAGTCGACAATCTTTTTCACAACTTCAGATAGAACATTTCTAACGAGAGTGAACAAACCAAGTAATTGATGTACAATTTCTTAGAAAAGTATCTGGAGATGATCAAATGTGGACCTTATTCTTGCAAATGCCGGTTGGTACCGAATGCATCTTTAAATGATGTGAGATGTGACTGTTAGCTAATGTCCCAGGTATACGACCCACGTTATCATCGCTGATCCCTTTACAAACTTGCAATCCTTAACATAGTATGTAAGACCGATTTTTCCGGTAACCTTTTAATTAATGTGTCCCTGGTTTATCATACTACTTTTAATAATTAATTCCGCTTTTAAGCGGAAATTAATTATTAAAAAGTAGTAGTATTGTCAATGAATGAAGAAAAAAAGAAGCGAGTTGCTGATACTATACAAGCAAGCTAAAACCCTTAGAAAATAATGTTGGAGATGACAATGCGAAATACGTGAAATTGAATGTTTAAGATCATAATTGCTTAGAATGCACTGGTAATTATAAATTTATTCTCTTTCAGGTTTCAATGATTAATTATTAACAATAATTCGAATTTTTTTTATTAAATGAATATGATGATTTCTGGATATGTAGGGTGTTAAAACATGAAATAACCATAAATCCTCACACTGCACAGTCCGAAAATAGCATATATTTTCGAAATAATTTACCTACATTTTTTTTCTATGTTTTTACAACAAAATATGTATGCATATTTATTTATTTATCCACACATTAAATTAAACTGTTCATTTAAGCTTTTTGAAAAATTTTATGCAAAATACAAAAATATATGTAGACAAGATTAAGGATCAATAACTTGACGATGATGATCCCCACAGTTTACTTATGTGAACATTTACTGATAATTTTTTTTTTAAAAAAAAATTCAATTAGATATAGTTGGAAAAATAAAATTATTATAAATGAGCTTACCTGACAATAGTCAACGTAAAATAAATTCATGTGGTGCTATCATTTCCAATATTTCACATGATAGTTGTACAAAATGAAAAAAAAGTTATGTTTTAAAACAATCTTTAGCGGTCACCTAATTTTATACCTATTGCTTTAAAAAATTTATATTAATGTATGTCAGCCAATATTGCTCCAAATTTTATGAAATTATAATCATTAGAATCGTCTAATTGCAAGGAAACCAATGAAATAAAAATTATTAATTTCTGATCATTGTATGTTAAGCAATATTTTAGTTACTTTATATTAATAAATTAATAAATAAAATTGGTATTTAATTCTACTTAATAAGACAATATAATAAACCAAAATTAATTAAATTCTGATCATTAGATGTCAAAATAATGTGTTTTGAAGTAATGTTGAAAATTTTTTTATATATAAAAAAAAATTTAATTTATTAAATTAATATTACATTTTAATAGATATAAACTCCTACTTTTTTGTTAAAAATTAACCAAATATTATCTTTTTTAAAAGTTAAAATTATTAATTATGTTCTTACATTAGTTTTTAAATATCTTAAATTAGAAGCATTAAAATTAAATTTTTTTATAATTTAGTATTTTAACAGTTTTTCTATAATATACTCAAAATTGGCATTCGTAATCTACTAATAATGGCTAAACAAAGTTTTAGAACGACTAAAATTACATATAATTCCAAATTCTCATACCTATATAATTGACACATCAAGTACACACCTGATTTTTCGGCTCAATTTTAGCATTTTTAACAGTTTTCCTATAGTAAACTCAAAATTCGGCATTCTTAATCTACAAATAATAACTAATCAAAGTTATACGACAACTAAAATTACATATACATCCAAATTATCATACTTATATAATTGGCACATCAAGTACACGCCTGATTTTTCGGCTCAATTTTAGCATTTTTAACAGCTTTTCTATAGTAAACTCAAAATTCGGCATTTTTAATTTACTTTTTATGCCTAATTAAAGTTATAGAGCGTATAGACGTACATAAAAGTCACACATATATATATAACTTATACTATTTAGTAATAGAAATATTAAAAAAGTAAAGAAAAGTCAAAAAAAGTCTTATGTAAAATAATTCTATTACTATGCATTTTACTCAATTTTATATGAAAAAAAGCGTTAACATGACCTTTACTTCTATACTAACATTATATATTAATAAGTAAACTTTTTATTATTTTAATATGAAAGATATATTAGATTTTTTTCTTTTAAAAATTTTATTAATTCTATAATAGTGATAATAGTTTTAAAGTATCTTATATTAAAATTAAATAATTTTTTTTGTAATACAGCAAATTGATTGATAGTTGATTATCATTTATTAAAAATAATACAGTAAATAATAAGTAAAAATAAAATAAAATAGAATAAATGAAAAAATTTAAGTGAAATAAAAAAAATAATAATAAAAAAAGGCTATAAAGGGAATCTGAAAGATATCGGTACCTTTCAGAAAAAATTTTTTATAATTAAATTATGTATATTAAAAATTATATATATGAAAATGTTCTAAAAAATTTTAAAAATATAAAAAAATAATTTTAATAATTTTAATAATAATAAAAAAATAAATAACAAATGAAATAAGAAAATTATCATTATAGTTATTTTTTTTATTGTTTGATCAATATTTTTTGATTTTTGATAAATCACAAGCTAAACTTTCATTTTGAAGTTTCTGAAAAATAATATTTGCAATATGATTAAAAATACTTTTAACAAAAAGAATTTTTTCAAGGATTTTTTTTTCATGTATTTCTATAACTACGTTTTTCAGTTAAATTTTCTTGTCATTATTTTCTGCTTTAGCTTTAGCTTTTTCTTTATTTTTTATTATTAAATTTTGTGATTTTTATGATATAATATTACGTGCTCAATGATCTTTTACATTTCGTGATTCTGTTTTATAAACATCTTGATGTAAAATTGTATTAAAATGTTTAAACCAATATTATAGCAATCAAATAATACTAATATCCACTTTTATTCTTTTGTATTTTTAAACAGTTCATATTCTAAGGGATTCTCCAAATTAAATGCAGTTATTAAATCATTAGCAAGCTTTCATAAGGATTTTTTCTTTATTTAATTGCACGTTCTTCTCTTACTAAAATATTATTTTCCACATATTTTGAAAGTAATATTGTTAAACAATCCCTTTCAGTTTATGTTTAAGATATTTGTAACTTTAACTCTCTGGATCCATATAATTATCACTAATATTCTGCTTTACAAATTTAATACCAAATCTTTCTAAAGTTTAATCAAAACCCAAAAAAAATGTCCAATCGTGTGAGATTAATTGAGCAGATATATTAAAGTAATTTTTGTAAGTCTGAATCTTCATTAATATGATAAAAAATGTGTTACAGATCTTGCATAATTACTTTTTTTCAGCAACAGGAAAAAGAGAAGAAAATCTGTTAGATTTTTAAATTGCATATCAAAATTCCCTTTTCTTATACCAATTTTATGTACAAGTAAATAATAGCCTACACAGCAGAAATAACAATACCAAATATTTATTATTTTATTGTTATTATTATTATTATTATTATCATATTTAATATTTTTTATTGTCATATTATTACTATTTAAGTATTGAGTTATAGCAATACCAATAGCTATCCAAATTAATTTCAAAACACGAAATATAGCTAAATAATCAACAACTCTTTCCAATTTATCTAAATATTGAACTCCTAAATTTGCAACTAAATTAAAAATTCTATAATCAAAAAATATAGTAATTAAAGCACTACACATGTCTTTACTTATATACCATTGTCTAAGAAATAACCTTACATTATTTTTATTTTTATGATATGAAATTAATCTTCTAAATATTGTTTTATTACAGATAATATCTAAATGATTAGTATTTGAAATTTCTAGGTCATCAAATACATATCACAGGAATTGTGAATAGTTGAATCAAAATTAGGATTATCACCAGGCTTTAAAATAACAACATTTGGAAGAGGAATATTTTGGCATTCTAATTGAATATCTTTGATAATTTTATGATTATAAAAATTTGTTATATTTCAATACTCTAATTTTTATGAAAGCTCATTAAAAATTTCTTCATATTTATTCAATAAATCATCTGTAAAATTTGATTTACCAAATAAAATAGTATCATTATTATCATTATTACTATTATTATTACTATCAATAATAGATCTTAGTGATAATAGCAAAGTAGTTTGAAAGAATGTAATGTAGCATGAGAAAAATTACGTGTAGTATTAAAAATATTTCCATATACAAAAGTTTTTTCTTTAAAGTCGATATTATCAATAACTAATACATTTAAAATATTTTCTTCTTTTAATAATCTATTTTTTGGATTGATTTGACTTAATCGACTTTTTTCTAATTGTTTTTCATGAGAATAAGTATGTGAAATTACATTTGCTATATGAAGAATAGCATATAAAAATGATATTAATTTCAGTTTTTTGTATAAAGAACTCATAATATTTGTAAGCCAAACTTTAAAACTTGAAAATACCATTAATAAGATTATTGACATAAGAAATGTATTTCTTTTGTATATTAATTATATCAAAAACCTTTTCTTCTTGATTTCTTTGTTTTTGTTTTTTGTTTATTATATCATTTTTCTTTTTTTCTAATATAAAAATGAGCATATCAAAAAAATCCAATTAAAAAAGATGAAAATCTAAAGCGATAATTTTCTAATAAATTGAAATTTTCAATTTCTTCTTTTTTTTCACAAATTCTATCTCATGATTTCCAAAATTGTAAGTCCTAAAGCTTCATCTATTAGTTTTGATATTTTTTATTTAAAATTATTACTTTTATCCATGATTTTATAAGATTTACTTTTCCAAGATGTAAAGCAGTTTTTATAAAAAGTAAACTTAGAATACTTTGAATTTGTAATGGTAATATTATTATTGATTGATTAGAATTCTTTTTTACTATTGATATTGACTGATTATTAAATATAGTTAATACTGAACTTAATTTGATTAATAATTTTTTTTTCAAATCTTCTTCTTCAGATTCTGTTACATTTAAAATTTATTATCCTAGATACTTAAATGCCTTTGTTTTATCACTTTTATGTTCTTTTAACATGAAATATTTGATTTTTTTCCACTATTTTGTCTCTGAAAAAAGTATTCTTCAT